AGACCTTGTAAGGCATTGTGCAGTGCTATCCCACGTGCCCCAGCTGGCCTTTGGATGGATTTATTGTTGCTAAATGTGGTTGAAAGGCAAGTGGAAAAGGCAGCTGCCTGTTGTGGCAGATTGTGGGGGGCAGGTGACAAACTGTCTGATACGGCCTGAAGAGATGGGGGGGGGTCCCACCTGATCTGAATGGCTTATGTCCATCAACCTCTCCAACTAAGTGCTGATTTCACATATAGCCTTGAAGGAGCATCACGGAGCAGCAATTTAAAGAACAAGTTTTCAGAATTTCCATTATAGTTTTTAATATTGATAAATGTTAGCAAACTTAGCAATAGTGAATCACACAAAACATTTAAGAATTATACACAGCCAATGCTTGGGAGCAGTGTCCTCTTTTCCTTACAATGCCTTTCCATGGTGTCTTTATACCTTCTTCACACACACATTTTTTTGTATCAGAGATGTTTCCCATTCAACATCCCACAGATACACCCACCTTGTGGAAGGACACACTAGCCCATAGCTCTTTAGTGATGTAAATCACTGATTTGAGAGTAAATGAAAGTAAGGACAGGAGCTCACAAGTATTACTCCAGATGCTGGCCCAGTTTCACAAGCAACCTAATCTGAAGAACCATTTTGAAATCATGAGTTCCCCTCTTTTACCAGGACTAACCAAAGAAAAGTGCTCTAAAGACAACTGCCTGACATATTTGCAAGACACATATTGCCCCACTTTTCAACCTACAGTTCAAAAATGAAAAGTACAGGGAGTACTGTAATGTGACCTTGAAGCTCAAGCCTATACCTCATTTCAAGATCCTTAGTTATGCAGAGTAAGCTTTGGTTTACTTGTAAGACCATTCGCCCACCAGGCTGGGAAGCTAAAGCAGAAAGCAAAGGTTGGCATTTTGCCCCTTAAAGGCAGCCTGGGCACAACAAGCTGAACACGTGCTCTTACATGATCACTGCTGGGAAAACATTCTACAGCTACTCAGCAGTGAACCCAGCTGTGTCCAACTTCTAGGTATCCAGTCCTGGAAGTGTAGTTCACAAACCCAAAGCAGATGCTCCAGAGCGCAGTATGCAGAAAGCTTACGTCCTGAGAATGGAATTCGAAAGGAACAGAGGAGCGCGGGAATGTTTTGCAAGTCTCATCTATTATTTACCCTTCAAAATATTTTCTAGGATTTGGGTTCCATGTTATCCCTTTATGTTTCTAGCATGACTCATTCACACTTTTTTTCTAAAATACGACCCCCAGAGAGTACAGCGATGGATGATGTCAGTGGTGCTGTGTTTAAGTTACTTTCCCGAGAAGTGTCTTCTCATCAAGAAGGGATCCAAATATGCATCTCAAAGCCAGACATTTCCCTGTGCCTCCCCGTCCCGGCCTTTTGGTTATAAATTACCAAGTTTGCTGTGCCTAGTGCTAAATGCAGTGCTGTCAGGGTGAGCGAGATGGGCTCTCTGAGCACGTGGGCGCCACCAGACCCATGAAAATTAAACACACAAAGTAAGCCCAGCCATAAAAGCCACACATTTGTATATATGCAGTTGCAGGGTGTTATATATAATATAATGTTACCAATGAAAACGTCAACATTTAGACATTCCTGAAATCATGCATTTCACATAAGTAATAAATTAGTTAGGTGACTAACTGCCTTTTGAGATTTTTGACCCAAAGATGTGATGTGCTGGTACATTTGAGGGATATGTGAAGGAGTGAGTTCATGTCTTCTACAGCTTAGTCTAATAAAATTTTAACAAAATCATCTTTTCCTCGATCAAGAAATAGGAGACAGGTGCTCTAGTTTCTAATTCTGCCATGGTTTCAGACCTGCTGCTATTATGTTGAGTTTCTACATTTGCAGTAAAGTTGGGTACTACTTTTTCCTCAGAGGAAACTTATTTTTAACTTTAAAATATCCAAGATAATTAGTGTTTCATTGGGGTATTTTGTTTTGTTTTGTAGGTTGGATTTTTTAAAGCTACTTTTGTAGAGCTTGAATAATTATATTCAGGAAAAGTTAATAGAGCAGAGAGTAGAAATGTAGTAATTGATACTGAAAGAATTTAAAGGAAGAAGCATGAGCAAAAGCCTGGAGGACGATTTGTATGGCTCCAGTCAGCTTTCAGTTCTTGATGTCTGCTCACCTGCAGTACAAGGAAAATGTTCTGGAGGGGTTGATTTTTAGAGAAGTAAAATCAGACTGTGTATTTAAAAAAAAAAAAAAAAAAAGAAGAAAGGAACTAAGAGGTTTTGTTTTGTTTTGTTTTTGGTTGTTTTGTTTCCAGTGGTATGGAAATATAACTGGGAAACCAAGAAAGTAACTTTGTGGAATAATCTTTCCAAAGAAAGAGCCCCATGAACAATTATGACAAAAGTCAAAGACTGTGCAATGGCAACATTCCCCCACTGATGATACCATAAGGTGAAATGGTTACCTTTGTTCCATTCTTGGCCATGTGGCTCTGGAAAAGTGGGAAGCAGCTTATGCTGGCATTGAAGACAATAGTCTGCTTTCTGTTACAAAAGGAGGAAAAGAGACAAATAGCAGTATTCACTTTCTCATTCCTGAATAGAAAGTTCAACAATAAAATGAGGAGTTTGATGCTGGAATGGTTATGTTTGGGATTCTCTTCCTCCCAAATTAATACAAAAGATGAGCTGTAGTTCAGAAAGGGAACAACATTTGAGAACTCTGATTTTCCATTACTTAATGTAACAATGAAGTGCTGCTTTTGGCTTTGCCAAAACTTTGATGGAAAAAAACCCAAACAACTGAAGCTGCCTGTTTAGACTTACTCAATGTAAAAGTCTGCTGCAGCTACAAGTAACACCTCATTCAGGGTTTAAAGATGTGCAATAAAGGAAATGCTGCTTTTAACCCATTGCAATTAAGTGTACGCAGATAAGAAAAGGCCTGGGAGAGAAAGGACCGCGATCCTCAGCAAAATTAAGCTGCTGCTTATGATTGCTGGGTTTGACAACAGGAAGAGGCAGAAGTAGCTTCTCTCTGAAGTCGTCCAAGCAGTTCCCTGGTTCCTTCTCTGCCTTTTGCAAGGGCAGCCATATAAGGCAGCCAAAAGGGAGGGACCCTGCCTTCCTTAGGGTGGGACTTGATAAGCTGGGGGCAGGGCCAGGCAACTCCTCTCCCTGCACCTATCCAGGGAATCTGCTGTATGGAGCTGAGGCAGCAGCCAAGAGAAGGAATAGGACACGCAACAGGAGAAAGTAGGTGCTATTTGACAGCTGGTTTCTGTGCTGTGTGTCTGTGGGATCCCTTGTTTGGATGAGCCAGCAAAGGTGTATCAGGTAGCTTTGTTTGCCACTGCTGGGTAGCCAGCCTTTGCTACAAGCACTTGTCTGGGCAGCCTCAGCATCCTAAAGTGATGAATGTACTTCTCATTGGTACTTCTTATGTACCTGTTGTAGGTTGACTTGGATGAAGGGTTTTGTGTTTTAATTTTAATGTTTGGTTCCTCCATCTTTTGTTTAAGAAAACTGATGAGGGAAAGGATGTATTTCTCTATCTGCTGTAGGACTGTTGTAGAAATGTGAACTGATATTTGCCTTTCCATGACCAGTGTAAAGAAATGAGCACAGTGTAACAAATCATGTTAGAATGCATAGATGTAAATATTTTGTGGAGTAACTTGGAGGGCTCTGTTGAGATGATAGTTCATGCAATACACATGACGATCTTTAAGCAACAACCAAAAATAAGCTTTGTTTAAAAAGAGGGGGTGAAGGCTGAAATTCTCTCTCTCTAAAATACCCTATTTTGCTGAAGCTAAAGTAACTTAAAATGTGGATGTGATTGTCTTCTGACGGAGGAGCAGTCCGCTGCAACACCTTAATATGTGGGATTTATACTGCAGATAACACAGTACATTATAATGTGACATTACAGACGTAATTTTGACATTAACATTAGCAATGCATTGAAGTTAAAGTCACCTCTCATGATACTTTTAATATTCTCAGCTTTTCATAACGTTTTCATATTTTCATTTTAGCTAGGTATTTCAAATGAGGAAGCTTTTCATGGTGGTATGTAAGAAATAAGACAGTACAAAAGACAGCTGCTCTCAATCTCACAAAGTTATTAATTAATTAAAATACTAAATTAAATTTAAATACTTTGCTGAGTATTAGCAGCAATTTAAGTCTGCCATATGAAACGTGTTGATTTAGAAAAACCTTATTGTGTATTCTGTTTTTTCTAAGTACTTGTTTAAGAGTAGCTGCAAACACGAAATGGCTTGAGGAAAATTGAGAATCGGTTCAGGAGTCCTTGGTCTTTTTCTTTCTAGCAATAATAACCTACTGATATCAGTTATCATTAATGACATCATCCTTTTTACACTTGAGAAAAAATGTTCCAGAGTACCATGGACTGCAAGATCAGATCCCATTAGGTGACTGAAATAATTTATTCAAGTCTTAAAGACTTAAGACCTCTTGAAGTGTAGGTGTTGAAGTTCAAACCTCAATTGGGTGTGTTTGGGGCAACAGCAAGTTTATGAATTCCAGGAAATTTTCACAGTTCCATCTCTAATCAGGACACTTTAAGAACTACTCATCTTAAAATGGTCTCATAGGATCAGGTCTCAAGACAGCTCTGCTGCTCTGCGAGTGTTGCATTATTTAAATAGTTTTAATGTTCTTTCTTAATGTAACATTGAATCTTAATTTTCTTTCTTCCTTCCTCCAGAATTCTCGACGCTTTCCTTTCCCAGACACTCTTGTTACATCTGGTGTCTAGCACGTGTCATTGTCTGATACATTTTTCTGATTTAATTTCAGAGGCTGTGAGTGACAGCAGGTGACAGGCTGACAGCTCACACTTGTGTCACAGCGAAGCTCTGTGATAACAGCACAAAGTCATCGGCTGCTGGAGAACACACTGGACAGGGAGGACATGCAATACCTTCTTCATGATTTTAAATATTGATCAGAGTTAGTAATACCTGTGCATTGTTACAGGATGTCCTGTGATAGTGGAGAAACTGTTGGGTACCCCATGGATAACCGCTGTGGAGAGGAACAAGGCTCCACTTTTCAGCTGAGCAACGTGAACGGAAATAGGAAATCTGCAGCATTGCTGGAAGCCAGGGGGAACTTAAGCAGCATGCAGTATTCTTCTGTGGCGCTGGATCCAGAAACCTCCATGAATAACGGATCCAGGATTCCCCAGAACCCCGAGGAAGGCACAAAGGCTGCAGCCTTGGTGGAAGGCGAGGCCGGCAGGGCCCGCACCGTGGAGTGTTTCCGTGGCCGCTACTTAACTAAAACCAGCACTCAGGGAGACGTCTACAACTTCCTGGAGAGGCCCAGTGGATGGAAGTGTTTTATCTATCATTTTGCTGTGTAAGTACCTGCGTTTTCACATGATCTTTGGTGTGAGAAAAATCTGAAATGGGCCACTTAATCAGCCAGAAATCAGAGTACTTGAGGTCCTGGGCTGAAAACCTGTGGCGTGAGTAATCCCACTGAAAGTGATGGAAAAGCCGGTTTCTTGAAGGATCGACCACTGTATCCATTAACATTTCCAGAAGAGGGCTTTTTGGTCTTCAAATGGTATTTGTTTTCAGATATGTAGACTGTATATTTGGTATTTCTGAGGGTTAAGTCCTGTAAGCTCATGGCAGTATCTGTTGCTGATTTAGCTGCTTTACATTGTTGTCGCTTCAGACACTGCAATTTTTATCATGAGATGGGGAAGGTTCAGCTGTGATCAGGTGCATCGTGCTTTCCTGAGTTTGTTTTGCTCCTGCTAAAATAGCAAAACAAGTAATTTGTTAGACAAACATGTAACCATAACATTACTAGTTTGAACTGAGTTATAGTAAAGAACATGTAATAAGTACAAATTTAGCAAAATGTTTTTAATTATACCGTGTGTGTAGTAAAAGCAAGGAGAAAATTAAGACTCCCATTTACCCTTGTAAAACAGTGGTTAACATATTAATTTAACAGTAACAGCTGTTACTGTTTTCTTTGAGTTGCTTATGGTATCTGTCAAGTTTAGCAAGACCTCAATTACTGTTTTGAATGCTGCTTAATAGAATGATAATTTTTCATCTTAGCTGTAGGAAGGGTCCAATTGTGCTCTCACTGAGGCCAGAGGAAGTTTTACTGGCTGGAGTGAATGCAAACTGAGCCAAAAGGCCTTGCTTTTATTATAAAATTAGCATATGTCCTAAAGAGATGCAGAGTGTTGAAATTATTCTGTTTGTCTCAGATGAACTTTTCTATGGCCTGACTTAATTTTGGAAAAAACATCAGTTACTGCAGTCAGGAAGTGCCCAAAGAAATATATGGTAATTACAAGGATGAATCCTAATGCTTTATTTGGCATAAAATAGATAGTCTTATTAATACTTGCTTCCTTTCACCCCCTCAACATCATACAGGGATTTTTTTTTAAAAGGAGTTTTTGATTCATTAAATTTCACCAAGTAAAAGGATAGGGCCTCTTTTAAGGACTATGCTTAAAGTATATAATAATTCTTAAGGATTAAACAGATGTAATTTGTGTAGATTTTAATATGCAAATAGTCATGATTTAAGCCTATTTGAGATTAGGATTTACTAATCTTGCTAAAATGCATTTGTTTCACCATCTATGTTGCTTTTATCTCTGACTTAAAGGTTGACCTTTAATATGCAGTTTATATTCTGCAATGGGCATTAAAAAAACCCAAAATATAACATTCTATACACCCTCTCCACACTAGAAAATTGGAGAAAATATTGGGGTTTTTTTTTAAGCAAGAATTACTAACTTAAATGAAAGAATATGTAATTTGATTGCTTTTAAAAGTTTGGGCTTTGGTTTTGTTTTTTTTTTAGGTACTTGAAAGGAAACATTTGAGCCATAGTTTTTGGCAAGAATTTTGTCTGAAAGATATTTGTCCTAATAATTATCCCAATAACTACATGGTGTGCTCATATATATAACAAGTTTCTGTTTTGGAAAGAACATGCTTTACAACATTAAATATTATTAAAGTGAAACATAGTTAAAGAAATAAATTACTAGTCTAAAATACAATAAAATTTATAATGAGAACAACCTGTGGCTAATTTTTAAAAGGTTTCCCATGTTATACATGTGCGTTTGGGGTAACTTATATACAGTTGATCTGATGATTATGATTATTTTCGTAACAAATCCAAACTTTCAAGCTGGTATTTGTGTAGTCTGGAGGAGCTGGATGTGCACTGTCCCTTCACTGTTGCTGTGGCCTTCATATGCCACAAAGACCTCATAACTTATGTACAAACTTGTGGGAACCTTCTGTCCAAGAGGCACTGGAGTCTAGTCTGATCTGGAGCCAGTTCTGCTAGAAAGAGGATAACTTTCCAAAACCTGGTGAAGCAAGTGCTCCAGGAGGTGACCTTCTCTCATTTTGAAATTACCAAGATAATCTCATCTCCTGTAACATTTGCAATGTGTCTGATACTTGAAGTTTCTTTTAAGGGAATAAACTCATGGTTCTTAAGGAATGTTACAGCACATGCTAGAAAAGAGAATTACCACTGAGTAATTAAACCTAGAATTTGTGTTGTTTTAGTGCAGTTATTCTAAGGTGAAATTATGGTTGCAAAACAAAATGTTTGCAGGGGTGAATGGGTTTGCTTGAGAATTCCCCCTCCCAATCCTGAAAACCTTCTTACTCAGGTACTTTTCAGCTTCATTGGACTACTTCAGTCCTACAATACCCCAGAACAGAGCAGAGGATCTCAATGAGAAGTTAGCAAGAAGTGAGGGCTTGAGAAGCAGCTGTCACATGCAATGACAATACATTGATCATAACCAACCAGTCCTCGTGGCTATGTAAGAGCCTTCAGGTATTGGAGATCACATGTATTAAAGTTCAGCTATTTGCCATATGGCCCTTTTTTCTGGTCCAGAAAAAGAAGCATGTGCCTGGCTCGGATTTGATTTCTAAACTCAGCTATGTACTTGCTTAAAAATCACATCCAAATGTCAAATTTTATCTCTTAAATGAAAAATACAATACATACAATAATGAAGGTTCTTGGCAAATATACACATTTAAATAATTTGGTTGCAAATGGAGTCTTATTTGTGTGATGAATTTGTTTCTGAAACACTTATACATTTAATTACTGCTGGAATGGCTCCATTGTAGGCTAGAATATTGTGTTTATTTGGCTAAATACATGTGAACTGAGTGGTGAGGGGTGAAGTCAGACAGTTTTCATGATAAGAAGACTCTTGCCCCTTATTTAGACACCAGGCAGCAGTGATCATAAACCAAAACCAGAAACAACTGTAGGTCCTCGAAGTGCTAGAATGGCAGTGCAACATTTCGACCACAGTTCCAAGTCTTTGTGGGTCACTTTGGCCATAGACAAAGGGTGGGCGAGAGAGTCCAGCTCCTCCATGTGGTGAAACATGGACAGAGAAGAACCTGGGACCGAGATAGAGAAGTCTAGACTGGTTTATTATAGAAGCTGAGACTGATGCCAGTGATGCTGAAGCTGGAGGAAAAGCAATACAAGAGCAGTCTAGCTCAAGGACAAAGAGGATCTGATTTAAGCAGGAAGGATGAAGGAAAAAGGACTAGCAGGTTTTGGAGATCAGAAGGCTGGATATAGGCTGAAAGAGTTGGAACTGTGGGACAGCTGAAAATGGTCAAGAACCTCAGAGAGCCACTGGGGGGAAGAAGGGGCAGGAGATGACAGCTGGAAGCTAGGGAAAAGAGGGAGCGTGGAATTCATGATGGGACAAGGAACCTTTCACCCATAGGCAACTGGTTTGAATCTTGTCCAAGTCAATAGTGAAGAAGTGGTAATGACTGTGGGGAGATACAAAAGGAGCTGTTGGTCTCAGTCCAGTTCCTAGCAAATGGATGTCAGCATCACTGCTAGAGTTAGCACAGCTGGAAGGGTTCCTGGCAGGCCCTAGAGAAACCACAGGCTGGTTGAAAAGGGAGGCAAGTCGAAGTCAAGAGGGAGGCCCATGGGAGGGACCCTTAGATTGCATTCTCAGGCCTGCCATTTTCTTGCTGTATAACACTGTGGAAGTTTAAGGGAGAACTTGCAGCTGTTCCAGGTTACTTCATGCTGGTTTGGCCACCTCTTAAATGAGTGTTAGACCTTGCACTCATTTAAAAGTTAGACAAGCCTTTATATCCCATGATTTCCTATGGGATGAGGTGAGCTGATCTAGCAGCTCGTTGCTAACAAGCCACCTCTAGTTCTGCTCCCCTCATCCACCTTCACCATTCAGCTTGCTCCTGCCACCTCTGGTTGTCCTTGGTTATACTTGGAGAGCCAGTTCAACTTACTACACCAGCAGGAACACAGGCCAATATGGGAAAAAGTGGATGGTCTTCTGTCAGGTTAGTAATACACGTTCAGCACCTTGAAGAACTGTCTACTATTGTTCTTTTAGTGCTCCTAGTGGGTCGTAATCACCTGTTGAATTTCATATAAAATCGTACCTAGTAATTGCAAAGTAACATTGCAAATCATCTGGCAAGTGCTGCAGACCACCTGGTTTGACTGAGAAACATTTCCTAAATCCAGAATTTGCCTAGCAACAAAGTCTGCCCTCCAGGCTGCCTCATGATTTACGGGGAAACAACTCCTCCAGATGGTGACTCAGAGGGAGTAATGGCTATTGCTCTGAATCATTCCTAGGGGGTGCTGCCTGTCTCTCTGTCGATTGTGTGGCAAAGACAGGGAGTATGTCTTCCCTAGAGTATGGTTTGACAAGAGCTGACATAATAGTTTACCAATATTAAAAGAGCCAGGTTCCCTCTCTCACCTTTTCTTCTGGACACACATTTCTTCTGCAGAACATGTGCTGCTTCTGGCCCTCACTGTAGCCCTCCTAAGCTTAGTCACACCTCGCTGTAAGGGGAGAAATGGAGCTCAGCAAGAAAGTGAGTAGCTTTTGATATCTTAAGGAGTTGTGGCATGTCAGCAAGTGGTCTGATGGTGCTGCAACCAGTACTAACCAGTTGACCAAGGCTGGAATGGAATGAGAGGAAGTTCTAACCAGTTGGCTAAGACTGCAAAAACTTCTGTCTCTTTTTTATTATTTTTTTTTTTGCCACCAGAGGACTGTGGTATTGCCTCTGTTTTATATGAAAACATGCTCTAAGCTTATTTTGTTACCCTTTTCCTCCTTCAGACTGACTCCCATGGCTTCTTCAAAGAGAACATGCACACACATGTACATGTTCCTGGCACTGTGTTTGAAAAGAACTCAACTAAGGAATTAGTGTTGAATAATTCAGAGTGCACAATCCTTACAAAAATGTGAAGAACATCAGTAATGTCACTGACTTAAAACTTTGGGAGGAAAGTACAAAAGATCAAAAATATGT